AGGACAGCTTCAGCTCAGCCCATGGGGAACGGCGGGATGATGGGACAGCAAGGACTTGGTGGGAAACCTCCAATTAACAGCGCCTCCTGCACGACAGCACCCCTAGCAGTACGCTGGGACTGCGAGGAGAAAGCACCCCCTGAGCCCCCTGCTCCACAGCACAGCGCTCCCTAGCACCACCCTGGGGCAGCAGGGACTGCGAAGGGAGAGTGCCCCCTGCTGAGCCCCCTGCTCCACAGCACAGCGCCCCCTAGCACCACCCTGGGGCAGCAGGGACTGTGAAGGGAGAGTGCCCCCCGCCCGCAGCCTGCAGGGCTGGGGTTCCGCACGGTGCCCTGGCTGAGCCAATCGAGCTGGCGTGCGGTACCCCGACGAGTGCGCGTGAACTCTTCCCCCGCACTCACTGGGGGCGCAGTCGTCAATGTCTGTCTCACAGTTGGTGCCTGTGTACCCCGGCCGGCAGGCGCAGCTGTACCCGCCGTGCAGGTTGGTGCAGGTGCCCCGGTTCCGGCAGGGGGTCCGGTCACACTCGTTCACATCCACGTGGCATCTCTGACCTGGCGGGGAGGGAAAGGGCACAGGTCAGAGCGGGCGGGGCAGGGAGGCCGTGGGGGAGGGGCAGGGCAGAGGGACGGTACCTTGCCAGCCTGGGGGGCAGCTGCAGGTGAAGCCCTCGTAGTCGGGCGTGTGGTCGCAGACCCCCCCATTCTCACAGGGGTTAGGGGAGCAGGGTGTCAGCACGTTCTCGCAGTTGCGGCCTGCAGGCAGAAAGGGGCGATGGTGAGAGCAGTTCCGACTCCCCCACCCAGAGTCAACATGAGGCCTCTGTCCTGGCCACAGGCCTTGCCCAACACAGGAACTGCCCTGCCATGAGTCCCAGAACCACGGCGACCTCCCCGCCCCCCACCACACACCCCAGAACCACAGGGACCCCCACCCACCACAGCACACCTCCCAGAACCATGGTGACCCCCATTCCCTCCAGAACCACAGGAATCCCCACCCCACTCAGAACTATGGGGACCCCCCCACCGTACCCCGCCACACCTCCCAGAACCACAGGCACCCCCCCACACTCCGCCTAGCCTGGCACGCCCCCGAACCACACAGACCCTCACTCTGCCTAGCCTAGCATCCCCCGAACCACAGGGATCTCTCACCTCCCAGAACCACAGGCACCCCCACACACACTCTCATTCCGCCTGGCCTGCCACCCGCCCGAACCACAGGAACCCCCCACCCCTCCAGCTCCCAGAAACAGGCCCTCCCCATTTGGCCCGGGCACCCTGTTCTCCCCACAATGGGCACAGCCCCACCTGTGTAGGGCAGGTCACAGAGGCAGGTGTAGCTGGCGATGGCGTCGATGCAGGTGCCCTGGTTGAGGCAGGGGCTGGAGATGCAGTCGTTGATGTTTGTCTGGCAGTAGGTCCCTGGGAGGGAGACAGAGGGTCAGTTGAGGGGAGGGAGAGGGGGACTGGAGGGGGAGGGGGGATGCGGGGGCACATACCCTGGAAGCCCTCCTTGCACTTGCAGCGGTAGCCGTTGACGTAGTCGGTGCAGGTGCCCCCGAACTGGCAGGGGTTGGACTCACACTCGTTCTTGTTCAGGTCGCAGTTGGTGCCAGCCCAGCCCGGCTCGCACTCGCATTTGTACCTGTGGGGGAGGGGGCGTCAGTGCAGGTCCTGCCCCATGGGGTCCCCACTCTGTGCCTCCAGGGCTCTCTGGGGAACTGGCACCACATAGCAAGCACTGGATGGGGCCGCTGGGTCCAGGGGCTCCCCCTGGCAGGGCGGACAAGTGCATCACTGCCCCCAGGATGGGCAGGGAAGGATGGGTGGGCGCAGTGCTGCCCACAGGGCACGCGGGGATAGGACAGGACAGGCAGGCGCAGTGCTGCCCCCAGGTGGGCAGGGCAGGGTGGGCGGGGGCAGGACAGGGCAGAAAAGGCAGGTGCAGCGATGCCCCCTGGGTGGGCAGGGCAGGCGGGCCAAGCGCTGCTCCCCAGGTTGAGCAGGGCAGGCGGGCGGAGCACTGGCCACAGAGTGGGCAGGGCAGGGTGGGTGGGTTGCAGGGGCGGGCGGGCGGCAGGGTGGGGCGGGGGAAGGCAGAGCAGGGTGGGGCGGGGGCAGGTCAGGCGGACACAGGCAGGGCGGGGTGGGGGGGCAG